AAATTTTTGATTATGTAATTCTCGATTTCCAAATTAAAATAATGTTATCAGTTCCTTGCCAGAATAACAATTCTTCTAATGATAACTTTACCTTTATTTAAAGAATATTAGAATAATACGAAGGCATTGCTTATAATTACTCGTTGGAAATCAGAGGGCTTGATGAGTAATTTCCAAACATTAAATAGCTTTATAATTATATGTCTTTCTCGGCCTAAGAATAATAATATACATATAATAAAAATATCTTTAGAAATAAAACCCACTTTCCTAGTCAGTGCTGAAGTAAAGAATTGGTCTTCAGCCTAATTCAGTGTAATACTTTCTTTCCCTATTTCTTTATTTATGGATTATAGCGTGGTATTGATTGAATAGGGCATTGCTATAGCGAGGTTAACTTGAAAGGAGAATTCCCAAGTATATAGGAATATAGTAATAACAGGACATAGACACTCCCTGTGAATTATATTAAAATTCACCATATATTTACAGTGTGTTAAGCGGTTGCAGTTTCTAAAAAAAAAGTTGCCAAATAGAAATTATATCAGAGAGTCAGAAGATCCTAGATTATCACATCAAAAGGTTCGAAACATTATTATGTAGGCTTTAGAGCTAAAAGCTTTTTTTAAAAAATAATTGAATTTTTAATCCATAAAGTTCTAGAGATTTTAGAAACATTAAATTTAATAATCTCCAGGACCTAAGCTACAGACTGGTATGTAATTATTATGTACGTTTAGGTGTCCGATACTTTTAGTAGATAGTCAAAGGCTTTAAAAAAATATGTATATGACAATAGTAGAGGTTGTCACCGTTAACCGGTTAAAATTAACTGGTTAATTTAACTGGTTAATCATCAATCTTGGTATTACATATTTTTTATTTTAGAATACATATCAGATTTAAAGTAAATACAAATAAAACATAATCTATATATTAACAAATTTATAATGACGAAATAAATATGGTAATGCTGCGTATCAATATTTACTTTTTTCTTTTGTATGGGCTTGAGTGGGTGGGATTTATGACTAGAGTTTCTATTTGTAATTCGAATTATTCGTAATATTAATACGACTCAATCTTAACCCGAATTTATTCGTTTATTCGAATTATTTGTTTATTAGTTATTCGTCCAATTCGTTTATTTGTTTTATTATTGTTATTATTTGTCTTATTCATTTATTCGTTTTATTCGTTGCATTCGTTTATTCGTTTTATTCGTTTTATATTTATTAGAATAGAAACCATACTATGACTATAATTTTTTATCAATTATATTATTCGAATAATTCGTTTTGCCAGTTAAAAAATTTCACGTGATTAGATTAACCAGTTAAAGAATTTTTGCGCGGTGCCAACCTCTATGCAATAGTATTTCATATAAAGCTTTTTTTTATTTAACAAAGTAATTGATAGAATCTAGATTTATTATGTTTGTGCTGTTTTTTTCTTAACATATACTATATAACTCGGGCACGATCTCACACCACAATATTTTAGATATCAATGAAATCAGAAGAACTAGACAGCGAACATTATAGGGTTTAAACTTAAGATCATCAGCACTAAAGATGTTACAATATGGCAACAACTTATGAATTTTACGACTGATGAATTTAACCATAAACGGATTCAAGATCTTATTTATTAATAATTTATCTAACAATCATACTCAAAATCAGCAGAATCTGGGGCGGTATAAAGAATGGTTTTAGGGTAAAAAAAATCATTTATGATATATATAATTAAAAGTTTTCTTTTATAATCATTTATTTCATTAGATATGATTGTGTGTTTTGTTGCTGTCAACAATTAGATAATGAAAGCTGCGGCAACAAAAACTTTTACTGTTAGAACCTATTAATAAACGCATTTCAATATTATTTTAAAACAGATACATTTTTTAAAAGATAATTTGGTTTTGGCTCATTTCTCAAAACCTCAATTATTTATGTGGAGCGTCAAAAAGTCACCTTATTGAGTCAAGTGATCAGTCTATTTCCACAGACAGACAGACACCAAGGAATGATCGGGACCCAATTTTTCATGTGATTTTAAAAGAACAGAAGCCCGTAGATTCTTATGGGATTTACCATATTAATATTAATGTTAATATTAATATTTGGGATTGATTCCAGAATAATCCAATTAAAGGTGAGGATAATAACGGTTTTTTCCGTTATATAATAATAATAATAATTATTATTATTAACGATTTTATTATTACCAATATTTGGATTAGCGTTTCTAATAATGATGAAATTTAGACGACCAATAAATCATTCGATCAATTAGCTGATCAAGCTAGATTATCACTAATAATAAATCATTTATTTTTTAAAATTTAATTTTTTATTTTACCACAAAGAAAGAAGGCATTGGAAGAATTGATATTTATAAAACATGCCCGAGCATCTTGATCCTAAGTTATTTCTATTAACACATATTCGAATAAACTCATTTTATATAATTATATATTTCAATAGTAGCAATAGGCATTTGCGCTCTGGTCCCCATAGATTCGTTGGAATGTTTCACCACAATTTAAAAAATATTTAATTACCCAAGAGTTTTTTAATGCCCCAAAATAAAAATTATGCGTCACATCCCTTAGTGTATATACCTGTTGCCATAATAATTTTATACAATTATGAAATGACAAAAAAAACCAGTTCATTAAGACAAAATGAGCATTAGTTATGCCTAGTGATGTTAGCCGGCTAAAAAAAATTAAAAAAAATACAATTTTTTGTATATATAAATGACAATTGGATTACACGTAGATCATTCCCAAATAAAACACTTGCATTCAAAAATAATAACAATGCAGATCTTTTCACTTATAATGATCACGTTATTTATGAACATACATTTTTACGTCTGGAATTTTAGTGCAGAATTCAAAGGCATAGACATTTAGTCCACCTACATTACTTATAATGACAAAAACCATACATTTTTTCAAAAAGCAAAATAAAATACATCATAATAGGATAAAAGTCATAGAGTTCCTATTCGTGATACAAATTCTTATTCGTTTTATTCGTTATATTCGAATTATTCGTTTATTCGAATAAACTTTCAATGTAATTCGAATAAATCAAATAATTTAACCATTAAAGACGAGATATTATAATAACGATAGTAAATAATAGAAATAATAATAACGATAGTAGTAGTAATAATAATACCGGCAAGCTTAGTATCATCTGAAACGATTTTTCATCAACTGGGATTTATTAAGTTCTTAGCCAGCTAAGAGTTGTTCGGCTTAGCCGGCCAAGGTTTTTCTATCGGCAAACATCACTAGCTATGCCCTGATAAGGCAAGTATAGTTGATATTGTCTGTTTGAAGATTTGATGATGATAAAGAGAAGAAAGCGAAATCATTTTGTCTAAAAATAAAGTAACAAGGTTTAATGTAATTGAATAATACTTTCTGATAAAACCTACAGAGACCCTTCCCAATTTGATCTTTATCTCCAGCAGCTTCCTTTTGTTTACTTAAAAAATATCTTTCAGATGCTTTCTTGAAAATTCATTTACTAATACTGACTGACCTTTCAAAATTTTATGACATCACAAGACACTATAACAAAATTGCCAAATTTAAACAAAAAGTGTATGATAAAAGTGAGTGAGTATTACTATTCTTAATTACTTTGATGGAAATTTATGCCACACTATTATTATTGCTAATAATATCATTATTAATATCATTGATTTTTCTTTCTTTATCTTTATTATTATCACCCATCTCTTCATTATTTCCTTATTAGTCTATTACATATGAATGATCAACTGGTAAAAAAAATCCTACTATGAAAATATGTTTCTTAATTGATTATTTACACAAACAAATCAAGAGTTCTAATAAAAGAGTCTACTCTTAACTAATAAAAGTAGTAGAGAAATAGTAGTGTTGTCATCATATTATATTCATTGTATAATCTTATTAATAATAAATGAATGAAATATTATCCTCTAGTATAAAACTTGGTACAGCTCTGCTATAAATTGAACATTGTAGAATAACAACAAACCAGAATGAATAGCAATGACTCATTTTAAACATCATCACCTATATATTTATTTATTATAAATTAATGTGGTATTCTTCCACCATTTTTTTCAATAATCAATTCACAGAAATCCTTCATTAAGTCAATTAATCGCGAGCGGTCGTTGATTTCTTATTGCCTACCCCCTTCCTTACTTACATAACCCGGCTTATAGGCAACTAGGTATTAATCAAAACATTGGATATTATCCTATTCCTCCTTCATAAAACATTTTAATTCATCACAATTTTTTTAGTATCCTTCTTTTAACATTTCGTTTAACCATACTCCAGAGGTTTTTCAATGGGTTAAGTTCAGGACTGTTGGATGGCGAGTTCACTAATTCAGGAACATTTCCATTGAGAAATTCCTGGGTGATTCTACTAATATGTTTAGGATCATTGTCCTGTTGGAATCGCCAAACATCCCCCAGCATCTCATTAACCTCTGGAATACTAATTTTTTTGTTCTGTCTTTTGACATGCGACGAACTGGCTTCACACCTTCATGCCAACGTTCCTAAACAGTTGAAAGGCTGTTTCATCAATGAATTGTTATGATGGTGGAATTTGTAGATAAAGTTTTAATGATGAATAATAAAAATGAATTAAAGATGAAAAAAAAACAGAAAAGTCGGTTAAAGCATATAGAGGTGGTAATAATAATAATTGAACCAATACCCGGCCCACATCCACACGATAATCCCAATTTGTTTCTCCAAAATTCCTAACCCAAACTCAATCCATACTCAAAAACCCCATATTTTTTAAAAACATTATTAAATTTTTTATTTGAGAGCGCTACGTAAAACAAATATACTTATTGACAGTTTCTGGATTTAGATTTGATCGAGTTTCATTTATTGTTAAACCAGTTCCTTACTGTATGCACTAGAGACAGGAGTTGATAAATAATAAGAACATATATAATTATTTGATGAATATTGCTATTAATGAAGGTAAGGTCACGATAGACAAATTTTTAGTTCATAGATGGATACCTTTTAATTTTAAATTACTTTGTTAAACGATTTTTAAGACCTCCACATTTTATATATTGTAATTAGGTCTTGTGCTAAAGCCCTCAATAAGAAATACATCATATCATACATAAAGATTTTTTATGAATTGTTATAATGTTTTTAATGCTTTAATTAAGCCTTTACTAGTATTTTTACCATCAATTATATATTTATTACGATTAATTCAAGTATAAAGTTGCAAAACCACCTTCACCTATCCTTCAATATTATTATCATCTATTGTTTCGTTGCCACTAGTTCACCTTTCAGATAATAACCCCGAACCAGGACATATGTGCCATGCCTTAAATTGAGATGTTCCGAAAAGATTGTTTAAATCGTCGTTTGTGTTAAATATTCGATAATTTATTTATCTTACGATACAAATATTAAAAAAAATCAGATAATCAAATTTTTTTAACGATAATCTTTTTATATATATAATATAATAATAATAATAATAATTAATTTTTATTTTTTTTAAAAAATAATAATAAATAAACATGTCAAACGATAAAAAAAAAAAAGTAATTAGGTAAATTTTTTCAAATCGAAAAAATAAAAAATAAATAAAATTAATAAAAAAAAAAATACTAATAATTGATAATTAATACATATAGAGTATGGGTAGATGGATGTTTTGATATGATGCATTATGGGCATGCAAATGCTTTGCGTCAGGTAACCAACCAATCGACTTAATCAATTTAATTAAATAATTGTTATTTGTTATCATCATTGCCATCACTTCAACACTGTCTTTAATAACGATAGGCAAAAGCAATGGGAGATTATTTGGTGGTTGGAGTTCATTCTGATATGGAAATTGAAGCACATAAAGGACCAACTGTCATGAAAGAAGAAGAAAGGTAATAAATAAATAATATTTATACATTATATATTATTTATTTACAATATTTATATATTTTTTTTTATTCACAATACCTCCAATATCCTTTTAGATATGCAGCAGTAGAAGCATGTAAATGGGTTGATCTTGTAGTTCCAAATGCACCATATTTCACAAGTTTAGAAATGTTAGACCAGTTTAATTGTGATTTTTGTGTGCACGGAGATGACATCACCACGCTTGCAGATGGAACAGATTGTTATAAAGAAGTGAAAGAGGCAGGTAGGTATAGAGAGTGTAAACGAACACAAGGTGTCTCTACAACAGAATTAGTAGGTCGTATGTTGTTGATGACCCGAGATCATCATAAACGACAATCAACAAGCATTGCATCAGTCAATAACGAGGATTTGAATACATTTATTACTGACCCATCTCATAATAAAAAAATGGAAACAAGAATCTCTCATTTTTTACCAACATCTAGAAGGATTGTACAATTTTCGGAAGGAAGGGAGCCAAATGTTGGCGATAAAGTTGTTTATGTCGATGGTATTTTGAATTGTTACTATATAAGCACTTAATTAAATTTGATTACGTAGATCATCTGATTATGCTTAAATTAATTTGTACAACATTTACATAATATTAGAACCAGGTCAAGAAATTACAGGGATTTCTCATTTGTCCTTTATATAATTTATTAGTTTATTTTTAGATTTTTTTGATGACGAATTCAATGAGCTCTGCTTTCATAATAACGAAGACATTAAAATTCCCTATATAGGATTAAATTTGTTACGATAATTTATCAGAACATATTGTTAGACCAATAACTGCTGGAGAATTAAAAAGTATTACTAAGAAAATTATCGTCAATAACGACCTTGACTACTCTACTTCTCTAGTGACAGATGAAGTAGATTCAATGGGCTTAAATCTAGAGAGAGGAGCTCATTCAAAAACCACCCCAAGGCCTTGAGTGAGAGTCTGCCAGACTTGAAAAATCGTTGCTTTATGAGGAGAAAATAGAAGTTTTCAAATGTAAATTTCACGTGTAAATTTTAAATTTTTGCATGGGATAAATCCAATCATGCATATTAATATAAATTTTCTTTTCTTCAATAATTAAATTTAATTAAACACTGTTCATTATTTTTGCTTGTCAAAAATATCTTTCATCTTTTCTAATGATTAACAAGTTTGGGTATCTTTCTTTTCAAGGAAGCATAGATAAGAAAGGAAAAAGAGATAATGCAAACCATTCCAAGTTAAGTTAAAAAACTATCTTATCTTGGGCCACTTTGAAAATAGCGAGAATTCCAGCAGGAGTAGTGGCTAATTTGCCAAGGATTACGGTAATTATAAACAAAAATCCACCATGGAACCTAAAAATTATTGTACCATCAAAAGTGTTTGGAAAGAAAAACAAGGCGAGAAAATAGTTCCTTGTGTTTTAAAACAAGTGAAACTGAAAATTATGAGGAATATTTAAATCAAGAAAGAATCACCTATGAAATTTATCAAGAAGAAAAAAATAATCATAGCCAGTAAAAGGTTTAACACAAACCATAAAGAATCTAGAGATAAACAAAAATAATTTCATCTTTGACAAAAGAGCGAGTTTTATTTATCCATCAGGATGGAAAATGATATCTTTTATAATTTCTGTTTTTTTAGTTTTCACTCATGGGAAAAGTTCATTGGTAATATCTTTGATTTTTACAATACCAGGATTGAAAGCTTCAAAAATACATTTCACAACATCACCTGATATCTTAATATAGACATCTATACTATTGAATGCCTTTCCAGCATCATAACATCTTATTCAATTCAGCAGCAATAGATCTTTATACAACATATAGAACATAATTTTTTCAAAACAAAACTCCGTGTTCAGATATGAACTCCGGTACTGTTTATTATTTATTTATTATTTATTATTATTATTATTATTATTATTATTTTATTTTCCGTATCTCTATATTTGGTAATTATTTAATTATTCAAATTTGGTTATATTTAATTTTAGATTGATAAAAATCGATAACCATTTATTTTTTGCTTATCAAGCACTTTTAAAAAAATAATTATTGATCGAGTTTACGGAATAACGATGAAGATTTATAATTATATAACATAATAATAATAATAATCAAGGAGATTCCCGAATCCATTCCACAAAAAGTTATTCATAAATAAAAATCGAAATTCACGTGAGTTATATATCAGCAAATCATAATTTAAGTCGTAGTTTTCTCTTTGGATCTCAATCCAAGGATGCAATGAGCCTTTTTTTTTTGGTGCAGCAACTGCAAGTCAAAAAGAAATAGTTTATATTTCTTCTTCTTTAGGTGCAAGAAGAAAATGAAAGAAAGTGAGCAAGTGATTTGTTGAGTGTTTGTTGATATGCACAGGCGAATTGATTGATTATACATACAGTATGTGTAGCAGATAGAATTTTTGCTATGCGCTTTAAAGAGTGTATGTTATCTGTGGAAGCCATTGAACCAGTCAGGAACAAACAAACTGGGAGGGTTATGTGAGTAGGGGAAAAGAAGTTTATGACATGGGGTAAAATTCTTAGATTAGCTAATTGATAAATTGTGCCATTCCCATTCTGGTTTTGAAGAGTTTTTTTTCTTTGTATTTTTATTTATAATAGATATTAGAGACTCCTGAAAAATTAAAAAATTAAAAATAAAAATACAAATTATCCAATTATTATGCAATTTAATTACATTAAACAAATAAATATAAATTAAAGAAATTTCTTTAATTTTTAATTTTTCATTTCTTCTTATTATTTTCCCTCTCTAATAACTCTGCTTCATATTCAAGTTTTGCCTTTTCATTTTTTTTTGCTTGTCTTTCTTCATATCTATTAATTGTAATTAATACATAATATGTATATTAATTTAAATTTTAAAAGAATAAAGCCTATTTTATTAGAATTAATTTTAAACACTCACATCTTTCTATGTTCAATTATACGATCTATAATTTTTGCTGTAGTAAGATCTGCGGATGGATTTTGTATTTCAATATAAATATCATTATTTTTTGGTAACTATTTAATTAAATAATAATAAATGAGATAATTAATTAATTTAATCAATTTATTTATTTGTAAATCTATTTATTTATTTAAAGTTATTAATTAACAAATACCTCGTAAGGATCTTTGCCATTTATGTCAGGTAAAGATGGAGTATTTCCATGTGCAACTATATCAACTTTATATACTTTGGATAATACGTTATTATCAACACTATACGGTGCTCCAATAATAACTTCATCCACATACTATATATATAATAATTTATATACATTATCCTTTATAGATTGTTGATGTTGTAATAATTTTTAATTGACACCTACTTTGCATGCCAAGACACTTAAAACACGCTCATGAAGATTCATCAAAGGGTAATTCACCCCTTTTATTGCATTGACTGTCTATTAATAATATAATGTGTTAACCAATTAAACTAATCAACTAGAGTAATCAATCAAAATGAACAATCAAATCAATCAATCACCTTATCATCATGAACGCCAACCAATAAATAATCACCTAAGGCTTTAGCTCTTTTTAAAAATTCAATATGTCCAATATGAAACAAATCAAATGTACCATCAACATAAACAACTTTGTCGTCAACATTTGGCTCCCTTCCTTCCGAAAATTGTACAATCCTTCTAGATGTTGGTAAAAAATGAGAGATTTTTGTTTCCATTTTTTTATTATGAGACGGGTCAGTACTAAATGTATTCAAATCCTCATTATTGACTGATGCAATGCTTGTTGATTGTCGTTTATGATGATCTCGGGTCATCAACAACATACGACCCACTAGTTCTGTTGTAGAGACACCTTGTGTTCGTTTACACTCTCTATATCTGCCTGCCTCTTTCACTTCTTTATAACAATCTGTCCCATCTGCAAGCGTGGTGATGTCATCTCCATGCACACAAAAATCGCAATTAAACTGGTCTAACATTTCTAAACTTGTAAAATATGGTGCATTTGGAACTACAAGATCAACCCATTTACATGCTGCTACTGCTGCATATCTAAAAAGATATTGGAAGTATTGTGAATAAAAAAAAAAAATAAATATTGAAATAAATAATAAATAACATCTAAATATTATTTATTTATTACCTTTCTTCTTCTTTCATGACAGTTGGTCCTTTATGTGCTTCAATTTCCATATCAGAATGAACCCCAACCACCAAATAATCTCCCATTGCTTTTGCCTATTGTTATTGAATATGATGTTGGAGTGGTGACGATGATGATAACAAATAACAAATTATTTAATTAAATTGATTGAGTTGATTGGTTACCTGACGTAAAGCATTTGCGTGCCCATAATGCATCATATCAAAACATCCATCTACCCACACTCTATATATGTATTAATTATCAATTATTAGTATTTGATTTTTTTAAAAAAATTAATTTTATTAATTTTATTTTTACAATTTGAAAAATTTACCTAATTACTTTTTTTTTTTGATCCTTTGACATGTTTATTTATTATTGTTTTAAAAAAAAGTAAAAATAAAAATTAATGGTGTATATATATATAAAAAGATTATCATTAAAAATTTTTGATTATCTGATTTTTTTTTTTAATATTTGTATCGTCAGATAAATAAATTATCACAAACGATTATTCAAACAATCTTTTCGGAACATCTCAACTTGCAATATGTAAGGCATGGCACATATGTTCTGGTACGGGGTTATTATCTGAAAGATGAACTAATGGCAACGAAACAATAGATGATAATAATATTGAAAGAAAGGTGAAGGTGGTTTTGCAACTACATACAAAGCTAATTGGATTAATCGTAATAAATATATAATTGATGGTAAAAGTATTGGTGAAGGCTTGATTATAGCATTAAAAACATTATACAATTCACAAAACATCTTTGATTATGATATGATGTATAGGATTACACAAGACTTAATTACAAAAGAATAATTCAATATATAAAATATGGAAGCCTTAATAAATTGAAAGATGAACTAAAAATTTTGTCCATCGCGACCTTCATAATGGCAATATTCTTTCTTTAAATAATTATATATGTTCCTATTATTTATCAATTCCTGTCATTAGTGCATCCAGTAAGAAACTGGTTTAACAATAAATGAAACTCAAATCCAGAAATTATCAATAAGTTATTATACTTGTTTTACGTAGTACTCTCAAATAAAAGTTCAAATAATGTGTTTTTTGAAAAATATGGTAAAATAGTAATTTTACATATCACGGGAAATCAATAAATAAATCGGGAATGATTTACGAAAGTTGCACGCAAATAAAATTGGGAAAAACCTGTACAGATGCGAGTGAATAGTGAATGGCTCTCGATCAGTTTTTCCGATTTTATTTGCGTACAACTTTGGTAAATCATTCCGATTTATTTATTGATTTCCCGTGATATGTAAAATTACTAGTTTACAATGAATCTGTAAAGAAATGCAAGCGGCTGCTGCAAAGACCAATTCCTTGCTTAATTATTAATCAAAAATTCATGATTTCTGTATTTGAGGGAAAAAATTATCTATTTTGGAACTTTGCGCAGAAATAGGAGTTCGCATCATAAGTTAATCATCGGTTAACCATTTTTATCAATAATTTGTACCTTCATAGTTATGCAAGGTCATAATGACATCACAAGTTATTATAACAATAAGTATAAATTATTTTAGTATATTTATAATTAAATTTTTCCCATCAAAAAAATTAAAAAAATGAATAATTCAAATATATGGACAATAAGCTTTGCTTCAGTTTTTTTTGTTGCAACAGTTTATTTTTTATTTATTTTCACAATACCTCTATTAGAAAAAGCGGATGATGGTCAAACGAATTTAGTAATAGTTGACACCACCACTTCATCAAATATCACCACAAAGTCAAATTTAGTCAAGTATGTGGACACAATTGAAGAATGTCCAACTCTGCCTCCACGTGATGTCGAAAATTTGACAGTTCATGATTTGAGAGCAGATGATATCACTTATATAATGGCGTTGGGCGATAGTATCACGGCAGCATTTGGTGCAAAAGGTCTACGTGGACATGATGAAGAGAAATTTTTGATAGAATCAACTAATAAAAAGCATAAAAAACAAATTAAAAAGGACCAAGAGTTTTTATATGTACTAGATCAGCAGCAACAGCAACAGAAAAAATATTTAAATAATAATGATGATGACAACGATCATGACTACAATGAATCTATACAACCATTTGATCCTAGAAATTTATACGAGAATCGTGGTTTAAGTTTTGCAATTGGTGGTGATGAAAATGCAACTAGCTTGGCAAGATTTTTGAATTATTATTCTAGATATGGCTTGATTGGAGCGTCTTTAGGAGATCATTTGACTCATATATGTCAAGGCATTTAATTTAATTTAATTTTAATTTATTTATTTTTATTAAATATTATTTTGCTTGTTAATTAATTGGTTTTAATTGAATGGAATAATTTATTTATTTGTGATTAGGTTTATTTTGTTTACCGTATCAATACAGACCTTTACAAGATCGTTTGAATGGTGCAGAATCTGGTGCAATGGCAAGTAATATTTATAAACAAGTTGATTATCTTTTATGGCAACTTAATCTTGAAAAATCTCATAGAGGTACAAGATTTGTTGATGGAAAGTTTAAGGTAATTAATTAATTCATAATAACTATTTGTTATACATATCTGTTTTTATTTTAATAATATCGTTATAATTATAATTATAATCATCAGCTTTTGAATTTATTCATTGGAAATAATGATTTATGTCAAAGTTGTAATAATATGAACACATCACCTGAAAAGTTTGAAAAGGTTATACGTGACACGCTTGACAGCATTATGAATAGAATACCAAATACAATAGTAAATTTAATGGGAGTGTTCAATGTATCTCAAGTTTATGATGTGACACATGGACAAAAATATTGTAGATGGTATGATGTTCCTTATATAAATTTCGAGTGTACTTGTGCATTTGCTCCAGGTAAATATTTATAAAATTAATTTTTTTATCATTAATTGAAAAAAATAATTAAAGGCTTTCTTGTAAAAAAAAAAAGGCGAATTTGGTGTTCTAAATCGAAAAATTATGGATGATTTAGCAGCAAAATATAATACCATTTTACAAAATATAGTTGCTGATTACTCTAAACTAGAAAGAAATGATTTTGCTATTGTTCATAATCGATTTGATTTAAATTTAACCACTTTTCCAATTGATGGATTAAGTAATATTGACTGTTTTCATCCAAGGTAATATATATATATTATTTTTTTTAATTTCAAAAATTTTTCTCCTTTACTCACATTAAAACCATCGATTTTATTAGTAAAAAATCTCATGAATATATCTCAAAGGTACTTTGGAATAGTTTGGTAACACCATTCAAAGAACGTGAATCCGTCATTAGTTGGGATGATGACATTAAAATTAGATGTTTTGGTGAAGATGACAGGATCATTACATACTAAAAAGAGATTTATATCTTGAAATTTTTTTTGTATATATTGAAATAAAAAATATCGATTATGATATAATCACATGCTTTTTTGTAATATTAACTAGAGGGAGGGAGGTTCAATACAAATGTTACACACTAAGACTTCACAAAACTGTCAAATAAAATAAATGCACTTTTTGATCCAAAAAATTTTGGTTCCCCAAGGTGAAAGAGAAGTAGTGGTGAAGATTTTTTACGTCTAAAGTTTTATTTCATTGATCTTTTTCAAAAAAAGTTCTTTTCTATTAAGTTTCGTTTTAATTATACATTGAGTTTTTTTGCTAATACCTTTTTAAATGATGCGTTGAACTTCAAGTGTTGCAACAACAAAGGTACTATGGGCTCCAAGTACAAGAGTTGGTTAGGTTTTGATGAGAGATTTGTTCTTTTTATTACATTATTATTATTTACTGATCTAGATTATATTTAAAATAGAAGGAAGGGTTAATAAAGATCTTTGAATAATATAATTAGAATTGTTAGTTTATTTCATTTTATACATTCACTTAAAATAATACATAATACAGGTTTATAATATTGTATTTAATATGAATCTATGGTTGAATTATTGTTACGCGAGGTATTATTACTATACTCCTATTGTATATTAAACGATGAATCATTGTTATGCAACTATTAAAAAAAATCAATGATAATAGGTAATGATACTATTGTTAATGATAATAATAACATTTATTTGGATCTAGAATCATTGTTGTGCAACCATTAAAAAAGTATATTACTACTAATGATGATTTTATAATAACATTGTGTTGTTAATTGTCTTTAATCAAAAATAGATCTATGGTTAAATGAATCATTGTCATGCAACCATTAAAAAAATCAACTGATGGTAATAGGTAACGATACTACTATGAATGATAATTCTTATTGTATATAATAATAACATTGTGAGATCTATGGTTAAACGAATCATTGCTACGCGTATTACTTATTGTATATAATAATAATAACAATGTGAGATCGATCTATGGTTAAACGAATTGTTGTTGCGCGTACGTATATAATAATACCATTGTGAGATCTATGGTTAAACGAATTGTTGTTACGCATGTTATTAATGATAATTCTTATTGTATATCAATATAGAAATAAGCATTACAATTATATAGCGGACAGTTTTGGTTTTGTGAAATCTTAGTGTGTAACATTCGTGATATTAATATGGAATTGATATATGTGTGTGACCGTCTGATCAAATTTTTTATTTAGGAAATGATTTCCAAGAATATATGTTACTTTTGGATCGACCGTCCCCATCTTCAATTGTAATGTAAACCAAGGGGGAGTGCCCAAAATGACATAATTTCGCTCTGATATACCCCCATGTCGATATCACAAAAAATTTTTGATAAAAATGAAATGAATTTTATTAGATCATATAATGTGTAACGTCGAAAGCTTCCAAACCCCGTCCCAAACCGAATGATGTCCAGGCGGGTCTTTATTCGTTGAGTATTGTTGATTGGCTAAACATATGCCGTTACACAAACCCAATTGGTTACTAACGTAAATATCAACAACTATAGCTCTTTTTTTAACCTCTTTTTTTTAAAACTAAAATAACAATCATCCAAGAAATTATTTCGAGTGTAAACAATGGAAAATCCAAGAGAAATCACAAGCGATAAAAGATCAACAACAACAGCAATAGAGGAGGCAGCAGCAAGATTAAGGTTACCACTCACTTCAAATAACACTAATAAAAAATTTAAAAAAATTCAGAAACAGCAACAGCAATCACCAATTACCACTACCACTACTGCTTCTTCCATTTCCAACAATAATATCCTCAACAACACCATGAGCAATAGACTCAACACCATGAGTAATGGCAATGGCCTTTACGTCATGAGTAATGGCCTTTACACCATGAATCACCACCTTATGAGTAATGCTATGAGTAATAATAATGGTAATTTTACTTCAAATTATCTTTTCATCAATTCAACTCACAAAGATTATTATATGGGTGTAATTTTGAATTTGTACATGAATATTCATGTCCACAATCATTGTCATCTTCCTCCCAATAATCAGTAGGAGTAACGTCGCCATATTCGCCATATTCACCATACCCAACAACAAAACCTATTGCCATATCATCTGCATCATCAAAATCATTAGCAACACCAATCACTAATTATTACAACAACAACAACAACAACAATAATATTTTAACAAGTCAAGTTTATGAATTTGATAAATTTAAAAAACACATTTCAGTTATGTTAAACAATGATTTTGACCTTAAATCCATAGAGAATGAATTTTCAAGTAACAGAGATCATATTCAACAGTTGTATTTAAAACAAGATTTGGCACCAAATGATTTGATCTTGGTGTTGGATTGCAATTTAGCATATTATATCAATACTAGGATTTCTCAACTTCAACAGTAATGTTAATTTTTATTTTCTTTTAAATTTTATGGGGGAGGAAAGGGTTAGAGTGTAGTGAGTGGTTTGAGGGGGAGCTCGGGTAATTATAATTAATTTGATGTCGTATGGAAAATCTTACTAAAAAAGGTAAACCGGTTTCCTTTTTGGAACAATTTTTTAAAAAAGCTTTTTTTTTGTTTGCAAGATTTAATCATCAATTTCTACCCATTTCCACAATACCAGTTCAACTATAATTATCCAAGTTCCTAGTGAAGGTAAAGGTGTGTCATCTCCTAATATGTATTATTTATATCTTTATTTACTAGAATTCCTGTACCTGGACAAAATTTTACTATATTATATTTTCACTTTTGGAAATGTTTTGAATATAAACTGGTAACATAATTATATGAAAATTCTAATTTATTAGTTGCTGAATAAATGAACAAATGAATAGATGATGACCAATTAACTGTCCAACTGATCATCATTATTATTTTATAGATTTTTGTCAGTAGATATTATCCATTTCTTAAAGATGTTTTCAATAAAATAAATCAAACATTATGGTGATGTATTAATTAATATAACATGCTATTATCATCATCATAATCATCATCATTATATCACCATTGTCATATTATTATTAATATGTGATTTTTGTTATTTTAGGACATTTGGGATGAGAATGCTTTCTAATAATTTAAAAAAAGCAAATGTTATATGTAATAAT